GGACAAGCGGGTCAAAGCCTGCAGGGATGTAAGCAATTACTTTAACAGGCTTTCTTAAAAGTATGTGTTAGATTTTCCACTAGGCAGGCAAGCAACAAACCTTAGAGTAAGCATCCCCTGATTCGCCATGCAATAGCGGACGAGAGCCGGTCCCAACAGCTGAAATTCTCCGTGCTAAGCAATCCACTGGTACATCTAACCAAACACTGATACCGCTTCGCATATGTTTCCTGGAAGATAAATCATATATTGAGATTAACATGAAACAGTGGTGTAAAAATTGAAAAGATAACCCTCAATGACAGTAATGAAATATGCAAAACACTTAAACACATACCAATTGATGGGCCTTATAACAGCCCCTCCACCAGTGGAAATAACACGCCGATGCATCATAGATAGTTCCTTTAAAACCTCAGTCTGCAATAAAAAGAGAAATCAGCATTGTTTCCAGCACCCCAAGACAGAAGAACAACGATATTACATGAACAGAGCTATTGTGCTAGGATACATCTTCACCTAATACAGATGTACTGTGATTCATCTCTTTTTACATGAACAGCCTCAGATCATCCCTGCCATGAGTAATTGATAGTAAATGCTCAACTCATCACAATATGTGATAAGACCCTCAATCTACAGGACAGTTGAAACAGCCTGCTAACATCTTATGTGTAGCACTTCTTGCATTTAATCAGAATTATATGCCTGAAATTATTTTTTTTGATAAAATAATCCTAAATACTCAGGAGAGGACTGTTTCAAATTTTATGATTCTTTATTTTGTGACTTCCATCACTCTAAATCCAAATACCCATAGATTATTAGTTAACTGAATCTTTTTTTCCTCCTTTTTTAGATGGATTTATTATTTCCTTATAACACTACTTGAAACTAAATATATCGAAGATAACCAAATTTAACCAAAGAAACAACAGTGAAATTTAGAGAGAGAATTGAGGCGAAGGCTGAAAGTTGTTTGAAGATTGACGGTGTAAACTTCGCAACATTGCACCTTAAATTAAATAGGCACAAACCCCATTGTATATAGGGTTACATTGAGCCAAGAACCAATTTCAAGCATTCCCAGTCATCCACATTAATTAATATTACAAATATCATTCAGGCATAGCAAAAAAAACCAGCTTTTACTTACCTCTTTGTCTCTAAAGAAGCCCTCTCCATGTTGCTTGAAGATTTCTGCAACAGACATACCCCCAACTTTGTCCTCCAGCAATAAGTCACTGAAGCATGCAGAACCATAATTCAAACAAGAACTATATATCATAACATATAATTAATCTGAACGAATTCATATCTCAATTGGGTTTAAAACATTTAGCTTGTACTTGAGGGTAACAAAGACCGTCTATTAATAACAAGTGATGCAGATTATATAGCAGGCCTATCAGAAGTTGCAACTACAGTACGACATCTAAATTACATATACTTTGTATAAACTAACAGATGACAGACCTATCAGAAAACGAATAATTAAGTGCTTCTGATAAAACTCTGCCAATAGTTGTTTTTCCAGAGCCCATCATACCTGCATGTAAGTTTAGTGAATTAAAACTAAGAGTAAGTTTAAATTCTGTAACCAAAGATGGAGTGCAAGTTAGGAACTAACCAACAAGGTAAATGCAACGTCCATCTAGAACTGGTTCTACCTCGGCTGATTTTTTCTGTAATTAAGATAGAGTTTCCACTTAGATGAGACGATCAATTGAGGCCCATCTACCACAACTTATCTTCACAAATTTATTAAAATTTACAAGCAAGCTGAGGAAAATGTCTTAAGTCTTAACATCCTGTGAAACAAATTTTAGTAATGACAAAAAAGGCAACATTACCTTTAAAACAAAGGACTCATCAAGCGAAGCAGAAATGCCACTAGACTCCAGCAAAGAATCTGAACAGGAACACAAATTCATAACCGAAAGAAAGAGGTGATACACCCATGATAAGATGACTATTAGAGAGACAACTAATGGTGGCAAAGAGTAAATGTATTTATAGTCATTGGCTCATCAAATGTTGAAATTATAGACAAGGAGGAGGATGAAGGCATAGTCTTGATTTTTGCCTTGAGATTTACTAAATTCAACTAAAGGGTGAAGGGTCACTAACTTCTCAATCTTACTTCAAAAATTAAGAGCAAATGATATATTTTTCAGGTGCGATTCTAACTTAATTCAATTATAAAGTAAAGGGGTCACTAATTTTTCTACATTACTCCCATATAAAGAGGGAAGAATATCTCTTTTCAGGCGCAATCCTAACCAAATTCGACTATACATTGGTTGAAGGGTCACTGAATTCTAAATCTTACACCTAAAATTAAGATACAATATATCTTTCAGGCGCAATCCTAACTAATTTATAAATATAATACCGTCGATCATATGATCTCAATCTTGCAGTATCAAAAAATGCAGGAATTAAAACAATCAATAATGTATCATATCCAATGAGAATAAATTTCATTTTCTAAACAATTTCATCAAACACTTAATAAACAAAGCTAAAGAATCACCTTGAGAATTCTTCAAAGAACTCGAAATCTGCCAACGAAGCGGTTTATGATAAACTGAAGTTCTCCTATTTGATTGCACATTCATGAACATCATCCGGACCCCAGAATCATCCATAGTTTTCGGAGAAACCAGGATAAACCCACCGGGTTTTCTCATCAATTTTTCGGTATCCACCCATTTACAAGGTTGAATACATTGCAGAAATTTAGCCTCCATAACACCAGTTCTTAATTCAAACACCCAGTTGCAAATTGATCACCTTCAAACAAACAAATTGACTAGAAGAATTTCAATATAAAAATTGACAAATACCCAAGTTAATAACAGCTAATCTAGCATCAAATGAAAACAATTGAAGCAAAATAAACTATACCCAACAATTATTTTTGCATCAACATAGCGATTAAATTCAAGTAATTGTAATTCATATCCAATAAATTATATGTTTGAATGGTAAAAAATGCATTGAAAAGAGAGTTTACCAGAGATGAGAGATGGGTGTGAAGGTAGCTGAAAAAGAGAGTTGGTGTGTTGGGGAGGGAGCGAAGAAAATTGGTATGAATGTAATTTGGTAGAGCCGTAGAGATGAGTTGTAGTTCAATTGACCCATCATTTGTTCATGGTTGGTGGAAAACTATAAGGACTATGTTGTTGGTCTTTTTAAAAAAATTCCAAAGCATTCAATCAAATAATGGACCTACGGGGTGTTTGGTTGGTGAAGGGGAAAAGAGAAAATACAAGTTTATTTTCGCGGTATACTTTATTTTCGTGATATACTTGTAGCGTTTAATTTAAGGGTATAATTGTCCATTCGCATATTTAAGTATGGATAAGTTAGTAATTTCAATAATTAACACCGTTAAGGTTGAGGAAAGCCGTTTATGGCGGAAATTCACTTCTTGACAGCTTCACTGAGAATTTCAGAAACTTCAATTACAGAAATTCAAGCTTAGGGAAAGCTTCAATGGAGGAATATGTCACCCCTACCCTTTGGGATTGACCTTGCCCTTAGTTTCTCCCTTTTTCCTTAGGGTTTCGTTTAGTTCGGTATGTCGGTATGGAGGAAAATGGAGGGAAAGCTTCAATGGAGGAATATGTCACCCCTACCCTTGCCCTTAGTTTCTCCCTAAATTCAAGTTTAAGGAAAGCTTCAATGGAGGAAAATGGTGGTCGGTATGTCGGTGGAGGGTGGGTGATCAAGGATGAAGAAGAAGAAGGTGGGAGGTGAAGGAAAGTTCCGGGTCCTTCAATGGCAGACCAGTGTGAATTGGGGAGGAAGAAGAAGATGGATGAAGGAGTCAACGCCATCCATTTAATTTTAAAGCTCAAAAAAAAAATCTTTAATACTCTGACACGAATCCCAACGCAATATATTTACTATAATGCCATTAAATAAACGCCCCATGTTTATCTTCAAGATCAACTGGGGCTCCCCTCGGAAAAAAGGAAAGAGTTTAACAAAGGAAAACAAGGAGAAAGGAAAAGGTTATTATTATTATTATTTTTAATTGGGGTGTTTGGGGGTGGTTAGGGGTTGTTTACGGGTGGTTTTTGAGTGATGGGGGGAGGGGTAAACGTGGTGGGTGTGGGGCTATTTCCTACTGGAGTTGGGTGGTTTTGGGTGTGGGTGGGGTTTTTTTGGGGTGAATTAGGGCCTTTTGAATTTTGATGGGTGGGGAATAGAAGTAGAGGAAAGTGAGGTAAAAAGGAATGACTGAATTTGTCTAACAAACATTAAAGAGGGATTCAAGGTAATTGATTGTTTTTCATTTCTCGAAAACCCTAACTAAACTCTCTTAAAGGTATTTTGGATTTTGATGTGGAATTTCTAACTTGCATATTGATTTTATTTATGGTTTGAATGTATTATTATCTTTACTCCGTCATAAATATCGTCAGACATGGTTTGAATTTTTTATTTTATTTTATCAGATCAGATTTAATATCCCTACATATTAAAAAGTACCGGATAGTGTTTGGAAAATTATATCCTTTGAAATGTTTATTTACTTATTTGCCCTAATTAACGTTCGTTGCTTCTTTTTTAAACTCTTAAGAATAGTACGAACATTTATACTCCTACAAACATTTGTTTACATATTTGCCTTCATCAATGCTATCAACAATCAAATTTGTGACATAAGGTCAAACTAAAAGAGGTCCCCAAACAAGGTTAGCTATAGCGCGCATCACGCGTGTTAGTCGCCCCATTGAATGTACTAAGAATGAATAAAGGGGTAATTTTGTGTCTTTGGGCATTCACGGTCTAATAAAGGATGTCAAATCACAAGCCAAAATGAGGTAATAAATACCAATCATAATGTCTAGCCCCTAATAGCATGTATAATCACTCAAATTGATTACTTCCTCCATATTTTTAGTTCACACAAATTGACTTTTACACTATTTACAAACTACACTTTGACTAAGTTTTGTGATTTATGGCAGTTAAAATTAGGCAATCCCCCTCAATCTCATACTAGTTTGAACACTTTTCATCTTCACTTGTTCCAAAATAGTTTTCACACTTCCCTTTTTTGTTATACTCCTACCATTTATCCATCTTAACCTATAATCTTGTTTCACACTGATCCTTCCATTAACATGAACATAACTATACAAATACCTAGCCAACTCCCATCAGATCTAATTTTTCTTCTATTAAAACAACTAATAATCCCAACCATAATTTATTTTGCAAAACTCTGTGTAATACCAAGTGTTCGAAGATTTCTAACTATACGACATAGAGGGAATAATATTGAAGTTACGAGGAGCCAAAATCCAAGCCTCACTCAATTCTCCAATCTTAGCCCATTAGCATGTTTGGGTTAAGAAACCTACCCAAACTCATTCAAACTCTCGAATTCAAACTTTCACCTTCTACGTTTACCTCAGTTCTTCCCTTCCGAACTTCAACCAACACTCAGTCTCTCTCTCTCCTCTCATCGCCGCCGGAGTCACCGCCATCTCCGGCACCTTCAACCACCTCTAATGTCCCAATACAAATCGCAATCATCTCAAAATACCCATCTTTAGATTCCCCAAAAATCGATGGAAAAACCCATCAAAAACCCTCAAATTAAACTCCATTGTTGAGCTCATTGACGAACTATTAAGCTTTTGAGCTTGGGTACAAAATTAGCAACGATAACCCAAATCCCATGATATTTCCGTTTCTTTCTCATCATAGGGTTCGAGCCTCGACGCTTGCCTTCTTTCTTCCCCATTATCACTGTTTATCTTCTTATGTTGTTGCAGGATCTCGTACTCATTATCGCGAGGTAATTCAATACCCTTCTGAACGTTGGTTTGTTAAAGTGATCTGTACCCTTTTTTGTTTTCAATCGCATTGTTTGGATTTGCATTCGGATTATCTTGTTAAGGGTGTAACCCCATTGATTGCTTTTGAAGTTGTTAGAAGATTGGATGATTATAATAATAGTAGGAATACCGAATTGGCATTGCGGTTTTTTGAGTTTAGTCGGGTGAATTTGAATTTGATTCATACTTTTGGGACTTATAATTACATTTTGAGGTCACTTTGTCAAATGGGTCTATATGATTCGGCTAATTTGGTTCTTGATTGGATGGTGGTTGATGGGCATTCGTTGAATTCGTCGTTTTTGGGTTTTTTGGTGGGGTTGTTTTCGGATTCAGGAAGATTTGACATTGCCCAGAAATTGCTTGCTCAAGTGAATTGTGGAGAGAAAGATGGAGATCCTTTTGTGTATAATAAGTTTTTGAATGGCCTGGTTAAACAAAATAGAGTAGACGAGGCTGTTAGTTTCTTTAGTGAGCGGATGATACTGAAATCATGCTTAGATGTTTGCAGCTTTAATATTATGATTAGAGGCCTGTGCAAGGCGGGGCAAGTTGATAAAGCTTTTAAATTTTTCGAGGAGATGGTCAAATTTGAGTTGTCTCCAGATATCATTACCTATAACACTATGATAGACGGGTTGTGTAGGGTTAACAAGGTGGATAAAGCGCGAGAATTACTTGTGGAAGTTAGGTCTAGAGATGGTATATCTCCTGATGTTGTAACTTATACATCCATCATATCGGGTTATTGTAAGTTGAAAATGACGGATGAGGCATCTTTTCTTTTCCAAGAGATGACGAGTACTGGAATAAGACCTACTCTTGTTACTTTTAATATACTTATTGATGGCTTTGGGAAGGTTGGCAACATGGCCTCTGTGTCAGCTATGTATGAAAAAATGCTTTTTCTTGGTTGTCTACCGGATGTTGTTACCTTCACTTCTCGCATTGATGGTTATTGTCGGATAGGGCAAGTCGATGAGGCCTCGAAGCTTTGGCAGGAAATGGTTGATAGGAAGCTGTTCCCAAATAAATATACGTTTTCTATTCTTATTATAGCTTTATGCAAGGAAAATAGAGTGAAAGAAGCTTGTAATCTTTTGAGGCAATTGAAGTTTAGAAATGATATTATTCCTCAACCCTTTATGTACAATCCAGTCATTGATGGACTCTGCAAAGCAGGGAAGGTTGATGAGGCAAATCAAGTTGTATCTGAGATGGAGGAGAGAAGGGGCAAGCATGATAAGTATACATTTACCATTCTTATCATTGGCCACTGTATGAAGGGGAGATTGCTGGAAGCCATTGGGATTTTTAATAGGATGCTATCAGTTAAGTGTACCCCAGATGACATTACTGTAAAATCTTTGCTGTCGTGTTTGGTGAAAGCTGGAATGCCAGACGAAGCCTCACAGATTAAAAAACAAATGGCATTAGGAAAGGTGGAAGTGAGTTTATCACCTTCCAAAAGAAAGTTGCCAGCCAGTACAAATATGGATATTCAGGTGGCTGCTTAACTAGAATGAGGCATCTGAGTGCGTCAATCATAGCAGTTGGATGGATATTGTCCATATTTTGTATACTGCACAAGCCCAAGCACTCAATTATATGCTGTTCAGGCTATAACGTTTGAAGTTCTTGCAGATAAATAGTTGGCCCTTTGATGAGTGCCTACCAGATGTTTGCTTGGACATCAATTACATTTAATGGATGATTAGCTGCTTCAGGCGTTTCACTTGGTTTCTGATGAGAAATTTTGACAAGGTTTTTTTTGGCTTATCTCCTGACTTAACTTGCTTCCTGTGGTCTTAAAGATGAGGTTCGCATGTGAGTCAATTTGAAGCAGCTGAACATGCATTGATTGTATGAAGCAGTGAAGTCAACTGTCCCCTTTTATATTGTGGCATCCCATGCATAAAAGAAACTCAAAGCAAAGGTCAGTATCACGATACTCTTTCTGTATCAAAAGTTGTATTTGTATCATCTAGTGCTTCTGAATAGTTTATAGCTTGACTGGTTCAAAGATTATGCAAGTTTATGGTGTTTCTTAATCTTATCGCTTGAATCGAATATTGTTTCTTGTATTAGCTGGGGAAAATGGTTTGTTTAATTAGGAGGTTAAGTCTTAAGGTGACAGCTGTTTAAGATGTATCATGGCCTTCATGGGGATATGTTATGGTTTTGAAGAGTCATGTTATGTTTTTCTTTTGGCGATTGAGAATCTATGACTTCGACTGCTCCCACTTTAATAATATTATGTATCGTAGCTTAGTTTGGCAATTAATTGTTGCCTAGTTCAGCTATATGTATTGGCTAACTATATTGAATTGGTTTCTTGAATCTTGATTTTACTTGTAGTGTTGGCTGTTTATATAGATATTTAGTAAAGTTAGTTGTTAGGTGTTATGGAGTACAGCACTAAACAAAATGACTAAGTTTTTGGATAAAATTAGAATGCCGAAAGCCACTTCTAAAAGCTATTATCTCTCTACTTTTCCATATATATCGAGCTTGCGACTCCCTGAAAAACTATATCTTAATCGGTAGGGGTGGGACTTTTCAAACCGAACCGTGAAACCGCCCGTTACCGAACCGAACCATCACGGACCGATCTGTTTATAAACCGATAAATGTAAACCGAAAACCGAACTGAACCGTTCAATATCAAACCGAAACCGAATTGAACCGCTCAATGTCAACCCGTTACGGACCGTAAACCGATAACAAACCAAACTGCGCAAATCCGAACCGAAACGAAACCGAACCGAATGGTTTATAAACCCGTTAATGACCCGAACCGTTTATAAACCGAAACCGTTTAAACCGAAAAAAAAAACCGTTTAAAACGAACCATTTGTAACCCGCTAACCGTTTAAACCGACCCGTTTATGAACCAAAACCGTTTAAACCGCACGTATAAACCGAACCGTTATAATCCGCTAACCGTCTAAACTAAACTGCCATAACCCGTTAAACCGTTAAAATCGAACTGTTTTCGAATCGCAACCTGTTTAAACTTATCCGATTACAAACTGCTTAATTCAAATTGAATTATTTACAACCTAAATGGCTAAGTAGTAAATACAATAAAATAATTAATGTTAATAAGATCTAATCAAACGGCTTAGGTTTATACAAAGGTTTATATCACCTAGATCTAGGCCAACGGCATTATTAATATCATTTTAGATTACTTATTTATTTTAATTACAAGATATATCATTTGTATCTTTTCATTCCAGTAATAAAGTCCACCCAAATTATCTTCATTGTTCCTTGATATTCATGATCATCCAATAAGATAACATAAGATTGGAGATAAATAACATTAAAATTAGAGTAATATCAACAAGCAATTAAAAAAAGTCACCATTTTCATTGATTAAAATTCACAATACATATACCAATACGGCAATACATAATGAAACTACTATCACTACTACCAAGATTAGATTTCAGATTTATCAACTGAAAAAAATGATACATGATAAGATGAAGGGAGGAGTGAGAATGTGAGTGATTTGGGAGCAGAATCTTGAAACAGAATCTTGAAGCAGCAGCACAGCAACCAAGAGCAGAGGAAATAGCAGCAACAAGCAGGAACCCGCACAGATTTGGGAGGAACTTATTTTTGTTTTTCAAAATTGCTCTCAGATTTACGTTTATCGTATCATCACTGAGCAATGGCTGTTTTAACTTAAAACTTGAAAAATGCTGCCAGCAAGTACATATACATTGAAGTCTCAACATAAATGACAAGGGCAACGATGATTCAAGAAAAAATTAAAACAGCAAGCATAAGAAACGGCAGCAACAAAACTTATCATAAATTCATAACACAAAAGGCAGCAACACAGCACCTCAAGCTGGCAGGAGGCAGGAACCAGCTCATGCAGGCAACAATATAGGCAATAACAACTCAGCAGAGACAACAACCAAAAGGCAAAAGCACTACCAGCAGGCAGCAGCTCATAACAAGTTCAAGCAACTTCAAAATTATAGCTTTTGTTTTTTAAAATTGCTCTCAGATTTACATCACCGAGCAATGGTTATTTTAACAAAAACTTAAGAAATGCTGCCAGCAAGTCTGAAAATAAATGACAAGGGCAACGATTTTAAAAGTCTAGAAAAATGCTGCCAGCAAGTCTGAAAATAAATGACAAGGGCAACGATTTTTCAAGATAAAATAAACCACAATGAGACACAAATACCAGTTATGCAGATGAAGCACTTTCGGCTTTAATCTCTTTACCAATAAGGAGGACGTCTTCCTCAACATCCGCTTGATAACAGAATTTCATTTGCACTAGTCAATGTTTCAAAATTCAGAATTATACAACAAACGTGATTACTCATTTTAGGCACAAATCTACCATTTTCCCGTAAAAAACAAAAATACAATCAACAACAGATTTTACTCATTTTAGGCATATTTCGACTATATTCAAGCAAGAACAACAACAATAATCAAATTATTCAAATACAAAAACAGAAAAACTGTATTAAAAAAAAAAAACGAAAAGGAAAAAGTAATTACCTTTGACGGCTTGAAGGAGATTTGAAGATGGAGAACTTACCTGAACTGGAGATCAAAAGAAAAAATCAAGAATTTATCAGAACTTGAAATTAAAAAAAAACCGAAACGAAAACGAAAAAAACGAATAAATTAACAAAAAAATTACCTTAGGGTTTGACGGCTTGAAGGAGAGGAAGATTTGAAATCAGAAATCAGAACTTAGATCCAAAACAAAAATGAAACGAAAACAAAAACCCTAAATAAACAAACCGAAACAAAAACGAAAAAAATCAAAACGAAAACAACAAAAATTAACAAAAAAACGAGAATGTAAAGCGAGAAATCAGAAATATAGATCCAAAACACAAATGAAACGAAAACAAAAACCCTATATTAACAAACCGGAACAAAAACGAAAAAAATCAAAACGAAAACAACAAAAATTAACAAAAAAACGAGAATGTAAAGCTAGAAATCAGAAATGTAGATCTAAAACACAAATGAAACGAAATTGAGCTTGAGAATTTCAGAACGAAAGAGTGAGAAACTGAGAAGTTAGAGAGAGAAACTATGACAGAGAGAGAAACGGCTGAATGAGTGAATGAGAATGGCAGAGAGAGTGAGAGTGAGAAATGGCTGAATGAGTGAATGAGGTTTAGGTTTTACTTCAGTTGATCTAACCGTCCATATTCAATCTCAACATCTAAGTTAGATCTAACCGTTCATTTTTTTTTTTTTGTAGATTCTAGAATATTCATCTAGATCTAACGGTCTAGATTTTCTTTGTGTTTTTCTAGGTCTTTTTGACCGTTTTTTTTAATTATTTATTATTATTATTGTTATTATTATTATTGTTAGTATAATTATTTGTTAATATTATTATTATTACTAGTTTACTACTACTATTATATTATTATTATTATTATTATTATTATTATTAGTTTATTACTTATAAGTTATAAATTGTAAGAAACGCAAATGTTTCAAAATTGAAATTGATTCAATACGACATAGTTAATGACTTAATGAGTTAATGGCTTAATGCTCATCAATGTGACAATATCTGACATCTGTGAGTCTGTGATTGTATATCAGTATATATAATAAACTATAAAACTAATAATAACTTAATAAGTAATAATACTAATAACTAATAAAGTAATGAAAATCTAACCATTGTTTTTCATGGGCATTCAATCTAACCGTTGTATATTTGACTATTCGTACATTACTAACATTAGTATTGCATAATGCTTTCATCACCACTTTAATTAGTGATTTCGTGATTTCGTCCATTTAACTTATTAAGTTATTTGAGTTAGTAATCTAAATAAAGTAACAAACTAAATAACGAATCCATTTAATCTCGTGTAAGTTATAATTTATAAGAAATGCAATGTTTGGAAATGGAAATTGATTCAATAAGATATTGTTAATGTATATGTAATTATATTATTATGTATATGATGTATATCATATCGTACGAATGTACGGTTGGTATCATTATCATACTATCATAAGTATCATTGCCTCATTGAATTATTGGTATGTACTAATCGATAAACATATTTAGTTATTTACATATCTGATCATTAAAACTTAAAAGTTTAAAACACTTGTTGATCAATCTAATTGAATACTTGTACATTCTTAATTATCGATTTATCGTATTATAAGTATCAACTCATTAAATCATGGTCATGATTTCGTGATTTCGTCCATTTAACTTATTAAGTTGTTTGAGTTAGTAATCTAAATAAAGTAACAAACTAAATAACGAATCCATTTAATCTCGTGTAAGTTATAATTTATAAGAAATGCAATGTTTGGAAATGGAAATTGATTCAATAAGATATTGTTAATGTATATGTAATTATATTATTATGTATATGATGTATATCATATCGTACGAATGTACGGTTGGTATCATTATCATACTATCATAAGTATCATTGCCTCATTGAATTATTGGTATGTACTATAATCGATAAACATATTTAGTTATTTACATATCTGATCATTAAAACTTAAAAGTTTAAAACACTTGTTGATCAATCTAATTGAATACTTGTACATTCTTAATTATCGATTTATCGTATTATAAGTATCAACTCATTAAATCATGGTCATGACGCGATCTTTAAAACAATCATGAATTCAATTCATGACCCAAACCGCTTATAAACCGAACCGACATGATCCAAACCGTTCATAAACCGAACCAATTGAACTGTGTAAACCCTCTACTAAACCGGCCCATTTCAAACTGAACCGACATGATTCGCACCGTTTATAAACCGAACCGATATTGACCCGGGTAAATCCGCCCCTAAACCGACCCATTTCAAACCAAACCGGCTTGATCCAAACCGTTTGTAAACCGAACTGACATTGACCCGGGTAAACCCGCCCCTTAAACCGACCCGTATCAAACCGAACCGACATAATCCGAATCGTTTATAAACCGACCCGCTTATGACCCAAACCGAATTTAAACCGCAAAGAAATAAACCGAAACCAAACCGAGCCGTGACTAACCCAAACCGAACCAAACCGACCCGCCTGCTAAACTAAACCGTTTCAATCCGAACCGCTCCAAACCGAAACCGACTCAAACCGAGGTCAAACCGAACTGCCAGACCGAAGTCCCACCCCTATTAATCGGTGATTGTTTGACCACATGAAAAAGCTAATAAGCAAAAGCCATTTAAGGTTATTGTATGCTATTTGTCACTCGTGAATCTATTGCAACAAACATTGGAATTTGCTTTGGTACTATGAAACAAAGTTAAATCAGTGTATCATAGGGATATGTTATTATTGCGCCTTTCCAAGTTTTTTTCTCCAGAAATCGTTAAAATTTGTACTGTACCTGTGAGCATTGTTACATCTCTCTCCCTTTTATTTATTTATGTGGAGCACTGATGTTTGTCTGTTGTTGGGACATGCTGGCTAAATTGCTTAGTCTTCTTTGTATGCTTTTAAGGTTTCTTGAGGTTTTAAAAAACTTGAGGTTCATCACTGCTAAAATTCATTTTGGATTCAATTATTCATTGGAAGATGATTATATTCTTGGTCGTTGCAAATTTGACATTGGAAATTATTTTCTTGGTCAGAGAAATGCACCATGGTTATCTGTGCCACAATTCGGATACTGGCACCAGAAGGGGCCAAAACAAATAAAAGAGATCCTTCAAGGGCTAGTCTGGGTAATGAAGAAGACTTCATCAATCCAACAGCTCCTGCTAATAACAAAGTAAACGATGATGAATAGCAGCATTTCAATCAAAACCACTCGCCAACTGTAAGATTTTGCTCAAATGGCTTTATCTAGTTGTTTTAACATGCAGCTGTCCCGGTTGTTAAGACTTGCTAGATCATACTTTCTGGCATTTATGTTTCGTTTATCTACTTTTATATTACAAAAAGCTGCCTAATTTTAATATAATGTGATGTGGCTTCTAGCCTTCTAGCACGGGAGTGGTCAGTTAAGAGGACTGACAGTTCCATCATTAGAGAAACTAAGCATGAAAATGGCATATATATGGTTGGATGCGTAATGGCCTTAATCAATGACTGTAATACAATACAAGCATGTGGGCCTTGAGTTAGTTTGCAACTTGGAGCAATATAAAAGAAAATACTTTGGCGTTAACATTTATTGTAATGATTCACATTTTGCAGCAAAATAGGCAGTCATTAATTCATTATGTATGCATCTATTTGACAATAATGTTTCCTAATTTGGTGCTTCTTTGGTGTTTGATGTGCTTCATTCTTTTTACGTGACAACTTGTAGTTTAACTTTACTTCTAATGTCAAGGTTAATGTTATGTTTGCTTGGTATATCCCCGTGAAACTGTAGGTGGCCTCCAATAATTAATAAAGGCAATGTGCAAATGGTGGGTTTGGGCCGTGGGGATTAGTGGTGTGCCTAAATCTAATCCTTTTTTGTGAAACATATTCTTGAGAACTGGTTGGTATATTAACTATAAAAGCATAGTCCTTGTGGTCAGTGATCCGGTTGTCATGTGACTGTACCCGATGGATGAGGGAATTGCAGTTTTACAACACAAACATGTTACTTCATGTGTTTTGTATTGGCGAAATGGCAACTATTATCTCACTTGATTTGTATTAGTTAATTGGATTCTTCCTCAGTATATGGGGGATTCAGAAGTCTCATGCAGTCATGCTATGCATGAATTTGATCAAAGTATATCTGGCTCTTGCTTTTTATGATGTATTAACATTGCTTGAATAAGATGTTGCACCACCCGGGAAATCTTATGTTCAATTGGACTATGTTAATAATTAACTCTATATCAAATTATCAATTGCTAATGCTGCATGTAGATCAGCTATTTTGTCATCATTAATAAGATCTGATCTGGTACAAGATTTATCAAGGGTTCTTGCATTATAAGTTTATGTGAGAGTGGGAAACTGTGGTATCCATCGCAGATAAACCCAAATCTATGTTTGAAATCTGCTAGTACAAAACTGGAATCTGTGGTATCCAGACTGCAGACCATATATTTTGATGCTTATAATAATATTCATGTTCATGTTTGCTGGACTTGGTTTTTAGTTTTTTACAAATCAACTTCTACATCTATTGCTTTATCAATCATTTATTTACATTTTTTTCTTGTTGATTGCAGCCGACAAAGATCTTCCTCAGCTACTTCAACGCTGTGTAAGAGCCTAAGCCCTGGAGACAAAATCCAAGCGCTACAATGCTGATGTATGCAGACCCTGTACCCAAATCTTCTTATTATCCAGATGCTTCCTGATCCTCAGAGTTCACTTCTAAGTAAGAAGTGGAATTTGCCCTTTCCTAGAAGTGTTTGTTTTTGACAATATGAGAAGCACATACAAATACAGCCCCTTCAGTTGGTAGAGCATATTTGCCGCTCTTTGCCAGCATTTCTAATGAAGTTGCATGCTTGCAACAAAAGAGGCGGGGTAACTTCCGCTAAATAGCAGAAATTTTAACATTAACTGGAAATAGATATTATTTTCTTTTTTCTTTAGGGATTTTTTTTTGGTTTTTTTTGGGTGGAAGTGGGGAGAAAGTGGGGGGGAGGGAGGGGGGGGGGGGGGACACAGGAAGCACTATGTGGCGTATTGTTCGCATTCTTGATTCATGTTTGCTGTGATCGCCCAGTGCAGTGAGAAGTTTAATTTGTTGCCATTGCCAATGAGGTTGTGTAGAAGGGTAAATTTTGTGTTAGCAGATTAAATTCTTTGCTGATGTAATAAATATTCTTAAGGATTTTTTCCTTGCCCCCAATTTGAAGGCATCAAATGTTGGTATTCAATAAAATTAGGTTTGTTCTGTATAATGCGTTTTCCAGACAGTTTTGGACCATTATAACAAATGATTTTATTCAAGATGGAGCAATTATTTTTGCTCCATTTGTACTGTATCATGTGTTTGACCTAGCCTCTGAGTTTAAGGGTTGTAGACTCTCTTCAGCACTACTATGGTGCCTGTTATGTTGTCCTTTTTGATAACTTATCAGTATTAATTCCAAGGTGAAAGGCATGCCTTGATGGCTTTGATTCGTAGTGTAGCAACAGACAACATAAGCATACATGATACAGGACTATCAGGCTTTTTCACAAGCTGAAAAGCCTTATAGTGTGTGTGGACGTTATTCCCATAAACTACCGGTAAACTTCAACTTATAACTTGGGGACTTGGGGTTTATTGAAGTCATCATGTATCCATGTCATAAACGACTCACTATGTACCCTTGAAATTAGGGTAAATGATCCTCATCCCAAGCACTTGTAGTTTGAAGAATTTGGCTTTGACCTTAAGGTTATAAAATCAATCTCCAACTAAACATACCAAGCTTTGATTGTTTTCGATTTGTATGGTATATTTATTCTCTCTTATAAGCTTTTCAGGGTTTCTTGATGAATAAAGTTTAACATGCCCAACATTTCAGGAAAATTTGTTTTAAATCACACCTTTGGACCCCAACATTCCAATAAAAACATCGATTGCAATTCAAACTTGAAATATGAAATAAAATAATTTAGCACTCGATTTTGTCTATCATGTAGTCGGGAAGGGTAATTTTGAATACTCTTATGTAGAGTTGGGCACGTATCATTTTAAATAAGAAAGAAAATAAATAAGAGAATGAAAAGAGAAAGAAAGAGTATCGAGAAGGTTCGATTGGTCCTTTCGTCGCGTCTCTGTATTTGCCATCTTTGTTCTCCGCCTCCGTTCTCTCTCCTAAAATCAGCTCACCTTTCCATTTTCCACTTTCTTCAATCTCTGAAACTCAATCAAGCGGAATAATATTACAAGATAAGAACTTTCAAGTATCATTTACAGAAAACTTGCAATGGTAGGTTAATATCCCAATTTCATTACTAATTTTTTTGTGGGTTTAATTGTTTTGTAATCTGATTACGATTAATTTGAATGTTTGAATGCAGGCTTCAAGAATTCTCGCCCAAATTCTTGTAATGGGTTCTGGGATATTAGTTAGGGCTGTTGCCCAAGCTTATCGACAAGCTATTGCTAGTATGTTTCTTCAATTTTTTTATTTTTTATTTTTTTTTAAAACAAATTAATTTATTTAGAATTTATCCGATTATTATCAAATCCCAGCTGTTTGATCATATGTTAACTTTTTTTTTTTTTTGTAATTATTATTATTATTGATTTTATTGGGGTTTTATTTGAATTGATGAAATACAATTATGTGGCAAAATTTTGGGTGCTATTAGTTAGGAGTTCTATAGGGCAAATGGGTATTGATTTTTAGAGGGCGAATTAATTGGGGTTATATTTGTATTAGTTATTTTGCCGTTATTATTAAATGATAATTTTTCTTGTAACTAGTTGTTTGGATCATGTAGTATTGTAGTCCATGAAATTTGATGGGATGAATCTCTGAAGTCTTAAACTTTGACTGTGGCAACCGTAGGGCTGAACTTTGTGTTTGGTTTCTTAGCTATCCTCTTAGTGATTTCTTTGGATAAGCTCATTAGGAAGAGAAGGCGCAGGAAATAATGAGGAATTTAATTGTCTTAAGGGGTTTAATGTGGGTGAAAGAAGGGTAATGTGAATATGTTTCAAGGTCTTGAACCTTAGATTGTTTGTTTGGGTGGAAAACAGGAAAGGGGTGAAAAATAGTTCTCGTAAATATAGAAACCATTGTCCATTTGTAAGGAAGGGAAGTCATTCCTCCGTACTTGTTACCTTCCTTTTCTCTGCTCCCATCTATTATCCCCTTTCCAACTCTAATTTCCTGTTCTTTTTATCTTTTCAAGGGAATCAAATAGGGAAGAACAAATATTACAGCTGTGTTTTACCTTGAACATTGTTTTCCGTTGAACCAAATGGAGCCTATGTGTAACAAACTGTAATAAATGGTAAAGCTTGTGCATTTCAGTCCATGGATTCTACAATTGTTGTACTTAAACACCCACCCCCCCCCCCCCCCCCGCCCCCCTGCCCCCTCTCAAAGTGTGTATCTGTAAAAGTTATTTAGCATGACTAATCAAGCTTTTACATTCTAATTGGATCAGCTATGGACCTTTTGACTAATTGATATTTTTTCAAGCCAACTCTACCATATTTTGAGGACTTATAGATAATCTCAATATTTCTTATTTCACCCCTTTTTTCCCTCTCCCTGACAAAAGAAAAAAAGAAAAAAAAAAATTTCTTTTGTTGTTGGTATAATAGCATTATAAAACAAAATGAAGTAAATGATGGGAGCAAATGGATAGAGAAATGCTCTGATCCACATAAATTGTAAGAGCAGTGGTCATTACCCAAAATTTTCTATAACCGCCTATTGTTGAGATTTCTTCTAAAATTTGATTGGTATTTTTACTGTCTCATGCAAACATGATAATGGAATATTAATGCCGTTGAAACAATTTAGCAGTAGCAGCTGTTGTATAGTTTATGTAATACAATATCATAAAGGTCATATGAAAATTTGTTTTGAACCACAATTTATGTTTAATTTTTGACAAGTTTTATGAATTGGCCATATAGCATTTGTCTTTTGTCCATGTTATGATTAAAATATATCTGTACAAATTGGGAGGGCCTCATAGTACTACAGGAGTCATAGGATTTACCAAGATCATGTATGGATAGTATCATCTACTTCTTAGATGTAAGTTCTACCTGAGTACTTGGGCACTTGTTTAGCTTTTCTCCCATTTTTGTTGACAGTTTTTCACCTTGTTTATTTGGATGGGCTAATATATTTTCTTAAACAAGATTAAGTGTCTCTTTGATGATGATAGACATTGGATACAAAATATGAACAAAACTTATATTAATTGGGTCACTTAATTTTTCATGAGTTTGCTGTCAGTCTTCAAATGGGTTCCTATGCGTATGTTGCTAACTTGTTAAAGGGGTATGTTTTGAGTTGTTGTCATATTTATTTTATTTGGCTAATAAGGAACCCTTACAATTTTCATATTATTTGCTTCTAGCTGTGAGTTTCCAACAAGAACATTTGTTTACTTTCCAACACATTTTGTCAGCAATTTTTGCTTTGTGTTTTAAATGGCTGATATAGTTTCACAATCCTAATCGACTCTTTGAAGATGATAGATTTTTGGGTTAAAATATTGACAAATCTTGTATTATTGAACAAAATCTTAATTATGCTTGAGTTTTAAACCTTGTTCTAAATTTGTTGATAGTCTGACACTATCCTTAGGTTTTACGTGGAATCCGCAAATGGGTGTGTCCGATTTGGTCAGAATTTATAATTTCAGATTATTGTTATTTTGAGATGCCCTTTGTATAATATTTCTGACCTAACCTCAACTACATTAAATAGCTAGTCATTTTATGCAGTCATGTATAGAAATTCAACCATATAAATGAGAGTCCCAATAAAAACGAAGAGATATCTCACAATAGTAGTAGTTGAAGGTATATTGTCAAGATGAAATCTCATATTACGATTCAAATTTAATTGGTTTTGGTTCGGTCAGGTTGGGACAGATTTGGTCTTAAAATTTATCAGTTTGTTCAGCAGACAAATTTGGGTCTCTCACAAAATTTGTAATAACCTAGTTTTTTTTAGTCAGCTTTCAGGTTACCCTTATTCCTTATGCAACTTTATGAGCTACACTCAAATTTTCATAAAACCTTAATGTTTATTATCATCTGAAATCCAGAGTGTCATTAGGATTTTACTATCCTTGGTGACTTTTTAAGACTTTTTATCATTTTATTATCATTATTTTCTTTTCTTTTCTGGCTATTCTTGAGCTTGAAAGGCCTTAGTAATTTGAGTCTCATTATTGGATATGGGTTTGTGAAGGCCATATGTGTTTTTTGTCATTTATGATTCTAATTCCAACATTGGATTTTAAAAAGGTTGCTTTGTAGTGTTCAAAGCTCACTAGAATTTTGGCTTGATTAGTCTTTTACGTGTAATAGTGGCTTTTTATCGAGACAGTAAATAATAGTTCTCGTGATTTTTTATTGTAATAATTTACCTCTAGACCCATATGGCTTTACCAATTACCATTTTAAGTTGTTACTAATAAGATCCATGTAAGTTGTAACCTTTGAAATGGAATTGACTGATTAATATCCATGTAAGTTGTTACCATTTGAAATGGAAATGTTTGAGTCCACATGCTCTGTGTATTTGTGTTTCATATTATATAGATAGACTTCAGGAAATATTGAAAGGTTGTGTAGGGCCATATAAGACATTAATTTTTTTTGTCAATACTTTTCACTGTTGTGTAAATTGTAAAATGAAAGAACTACTGTGTAAATTGTAAAATGAAAGAATTTTCTCTCATACATCACTTAAGCTCTGTTTTTAAAGGAAGATTAGGCAGTAACCTTGAGAGATCACATAATGATCCCCCAAGTTTATTTGAGGTATTTGAGCCCTCGGAGTCTTAAATATCAATTCCTTGTTTATTTCACATTCTCTAGTCCTTGCTTGCAACATATTTTCTATTCACTCTTGTTGCTCCTCCTTTCATAGTATTTCTGCCTTGTTTTACCTCTTGGCATTATTATTTAATGCATGGTGTTCCTGAAATCCTTAAATAAATTGAGTGGTGATATTTGGTGCTTCAATCTGTATTTTTTTCTTTCTTTCTTAGGGTTTATGCCTATTTCTTGATTTTGATATGTGCTAGGTTTTGCCCTACCCCTTATGACTTGAGATGCATTTTTATGTCTTTTCTCTTTTTTGAAGTTGCTGGGCTAGAAGTCTTGATCTTAACAATAAAATTTGGGGACCCAAGTTCTTTACTCATTTAGATGGGTTATTTGCTCATTTTGTCGATGTGTATTTTGCCATCACCAAGTCTGCTA